GTCAAAACAATACGTAACGTTGTTATGATATTGTTGTTGTCAAAAGCAGTTGATGTTTATAGTCCGAAGGAGACGGACGTGGGAATCCTTGAGGACGCTTTACCCCGGGATCCCACGGAAGCAAACGTTATATAAAGTTGGATACTTGAGGACGTTTTACCCCGGGACTCCAAGACCTCAGCAGGAAGCTGGTGAGCACTACATTCTCGGCAGCAAGCCGGTATACTTTCATTGCTTAATTCGGACTTGTCCGAGGACCAAGATGATTGTCATGATCTCAAGGTCGGACTGCGACCTATCGTAAGGACATATCCGTCCATGGATGTACGAGTGAGCTTTGGTTGAACGAGTTGATTATTGATTGCATATGTATTTCTCCTTGTATTGCTGATTGTATATATCAATACAACCGTTGGAACTTAACGCATAGCGTTCGAACTCTACCTTTTGAAAGCATTGAAGTAACTACTGTTTTACCCCTACTTGGCCTATTTCATCTTGGTACCACACACATCAGCTTGAAGCGCCTCAGCACGTCACAATGAAGGACCGCACGTATCAAGGCATGGAGAGCAAAGCGAGCAGCAGTTAAGAAATAACAGAAAGTGCGAAAGGCACCTCACAGGTTACAAGAGGATGTAGAGAGGCTAGAAAGAGTTAAAAAAGAAAAAGTAGAAGATTTCAAGCGCTGTGCAGCAGATGCAAAGAAGGCTAAACAGGAACATTTTATGAGCGAATCTGAAGGAGATAGATCCCTGGGTAGGTTTTAGAGACTTCACAAATGCAAAGAAAAGATCAGCCTATCACAACAGGCATTATATTCGCTGATAATGATATACCAATGACAACAGATAATGATATACCAATGACAACAGATAATGATATACCAATGACAACAGATACAGAAAATGGGTAAGTTTTTTTGAAGAGATTTATAGCCCAAACTGATTATAATTTTAGACAGCTTAGAAATTCAGTTAGAGATAATCAGTATAATACAATAAATGATCATTATTTTGAGGATATCATTTGGGTGGAGGATATAAAACATATATTGCAAAAAGCAAAGGACACTGCATCGGGGCCAGACAAAATCAGGTATGCCCACTTGAAGAGCATGAGTGTTGAAGACTTGAGGGAGATGGCTTTTTACTTCAACCAGAGCATCAGAACAGCTTCAGTACACCAGGATTGAGCACACATCTACTTAATTCCACTTCCAAAACCAGGCAAAGATCATTCCAGTGGTTTCAGGACTGTCACTGTACAAAATACTTTTGGCAAGGTGCTAGAGAAGATTATTGCTGTTAAACTAGAAATGTTTTTGGTAAGGGAAGAGATCATGCCAAAAGGTTTGGGTAGTTCCCGGCCAGGGAAAGATACCTGGTCAAATGCAGCTACTTTTGCTTTTGATGTTTATGAGGGTTTCTAAAACAGACAGGAGACGGCTGTGGCAGCACTTGATCTTGAGGATGCCAACAATAGAGTCAAAAATGATATTTCGATTTCTCCACTCATGGAGGAGAGGGTTTGTCCCTGGCTTGTGAACTGGATAGCAGCTGTCCTGCATTTACGCATGGTCGCCCTTCACCTGGGTACATGGACCTCAGAACCTTGAAATATCGCTCCGGGACTACCCCAGGGTTCTGCAATTTCACCAGTTCTCTTCAATGTGTATTTAAGTAAGATTGCAAAATTTGAATCACCAGGTGTTGGATGAAGCAGAACTTGAATCACTAGGTGCTAGAAGAAATTGACATCTGCCGATGATGTTCTTGCATATAGGCAGGGGAGAGACATGAGCTACAGGTAACTGTAGACAAAGTGACTGACTAGTGTGCAGAAATTGATGCTGTCATCAATTGAGATAAGGCAGCTGTTTTGTGGTGCTCTCTGGACAATAGAATTGTAAAAGCTAACGTTCCAAATCTCACAGTTAATAACAGTAACATCAAAAAAGAAAGCAAACTGAGGTACCTGGGTATCATTTTCGATAGAAGCCTGTTCTTCAGGGATCACTTGGAGGAAGTTGTGGTGAAATGCCAAAAATAACTCAATGCACTCAAGATTATGGCAGCAACGGACATGGAGCAAAGAATGTTGTTCACAATGTTCCAGCATGAGATCCTCTTGGTGATATACTATGGACTTGGCATGCTTACCATATCAAAGAGTCAGCTGATGAAACTTGAACGCATACAGAATAAAGCCGTGCAGGTAATTATAGGATGTACAAGAGATACCCCGGTAGTATGCAATATGTATTTGTACTGCCTACTACTGCAGATAGGCTCAATGTTCTGCAAGCAAAGTCATATCTCAGAGTAGCTGCAGACAAGAGGCAACTCCATCTCAGGGTAGCCGGAGACACAGACAACCCTTTTCAAGAAGCTCTGGGTGCAGCTAAGAGTCTGCGGCTGATAAGAGGGAAGTCATGGATGGCTCAGGCAGAAGACACCATCAGACAGGCTTGCATCCTTGAGAACATAGGCAAGGAGAGGAGTGGGTCAAAGTGCCACCTGAACAGTCAGACTTGTGTAGAGTCATAATCACACTGAGCTGGGAATGCAGAGACTGGCCAGCAGGTGCCACGGAGATGAAAATTCAGCAATTAATTCAAGATAATGCTCGCTCAGAGGATTGGATCATTTACGCAGACGGTTCAGTGTCAAGAGGCAAAAGAAGTGCTTAGGGTTTCTTAGTAAAAGTTAATGGTTGACGTTTGGTGCAGGGGAGCATAGCATATGATACCACAACATCCAGCTTAAGAATGGAGGAGCAGGAGCCGGTCACTGCAGCTTTCTGCTGATTAGAGAACAGGACACACTCACACACACACCATGATCATAACTGACTCAGAAAGCATGCTGAGGAAGATCAGAACAGGCATGCTTCGTGCAGAGTGGCATGCTTCGCTGCGGAAGACACGGGCGAGGAGTACTGTCGGGAGTTTTTCCCCGTGGTAGGCCGGTGTGTTGGGAAATGAACAGGCGGACAGATTGGCTGGCTCTGCACAACTTGGTAGAATACTGATACATGATAAGGCAGAACTGGTTAGTGCCTTGTGGGAGAGCTTGTAGAGTTAGGAGGAGCAGATGGATCACCACATTCTGGTGAGATCGATGCACGGGGGAGTGACGAGAGGTTTTGGCAAATGCTCAAGGCTCAGGGGAAGGGCAAGACGGACGTTTAATCAGAATGCTACTGGCACCATTAGTATCGGAACGCTTCGCTGGCTGCTGAAGATGGGGACGGAGCGCTTATGGGAATGCTCCGAGTGCTGTTTTGTCGGTTCTTGAATCAAATCAAATCAAATGAAGAAGCAACTCCTGCATGAAGCCCTGGACAGAGCTAAGGGTCACAAACTGAAAAGAAGAAAGTCTTGGATGGCGCAAGCTGAAGAAATAATTGGACATGTGTGCAGGCTTGATAAATTTAGATGAGGAGAGGAGTGGGTCAGAGTGTCCGATTAGATTTTAGACTTGTGTAGGGTTGTAATCACTTTGGACATGAAAGCAGTGACTGCAGAATCAGAAGATCAACAAATGATTCATGAAAATTCCCGCCCAGGTGATGTAATTGTCTGTACAGATGGCTCTGTGTTGAGGGGCAGACAAAGTGGATGGGAGTTCATAGTGAAGGCGAAAGGACGTCGCTTGTTGCAACAAAGCCTAGCATATGATATCACAACGTTTAGTTTGAGAAGGGAGGCGGAGGCAGTCACTGCTGCTTTCCGCTGGCTTGAGAATCAGCTGTACTCACATGCCGTCATTTTAACTTATTCACAGAGCATGCTGAGAAAGGTGGAGACAGGCGTGCTCCGTGCAGAGTGGCAAGCATCACTTCAAAGGTCCAGGGTAGTTAGCATCCTTTGGATATTTTCTCCATGTATGCTGGTGTGTTGGGAATTAAGCAGGTGGATAGACTGGCAGGTTCTGCACCACTTGGTGGTGAACTGATGTATGACAAGCTGGATGATGTGAGGGCCCTTTGGGAGCGAGTGAACAATGCCGAGGCACAGACAGATCATTATTGTCTGAGGAGAATAGCACTGTGACGAGTTACAAGGGGATCTGGCCAATGATCAACACTCAGGGCAAAGGCGGGACAAATATACAATCAGACAGTGACTGGTACCATCAGAATTATAACTCTTCCTTGCTGCTGAAGATGGGGACAGAGCGCTAATGGGGTGTCCCAAGTGCTGTGATGTCGATTCTTAATTCAACATGCATTTACAGCAAAGATGCAACATCTGGCCTGATGTGTTCCTAACAGCACCTCAGAGACTAAATTTTCCCACACTCTTCAAATACTATTCTCACAACCAAAACTGCAGTAACACCATCTCCTCTGAAGACTATCATGTGGACGTGGAGTAGGGCATCAGTCAGGTCTGTACCAATAACTGTAGAGTATGCCATCTCTAAGTTACCCACCACTCTCATCTGAAGACTGTCATGTGGAGGGGAAGTAGGGCATCAGTCAGGTCTGTACCAATAACTGTAAAGTATGACATCTCTAAGTTACCCACCACTCTCATCTGAAGACTGTCATGTGGACGTGGAGTAGGGCATCAGTCAGGTCTGTACCAATAACTGTAAAGTATGCCATCTGTAAGTTACCCACCACTCTCATCTGAAGACTGTCATGTGGAGGGGGAGTAGGGCATCAGTCAGGTCTGTACCAATAACTGTAAAGTATGCCATCTCTAAGTTACCCACCACTCTCATCTGCTGTGCTAACAAAACACAGAAAATAAAATAGGATAATGTATCTGCATCCTTGGCTGTGTTCAGTGTTGCATGAATGATCAAATTAACTTGCCACTCAATACAATTATTTACAAGAAAAGAATATACATGTCCTCTAATAAAGTGACTAATAGAAGTAAATGATACCTTTGTGTTTTAACTCAAGAGAACCAGAAACACATGCTAGCATACTGTGACTACCTTTACAACTGCAGCCACTTCAGGACATGTATGCATTTCACTTACAAAGCTGCTGCCTCTGGATTGGATGGAGAATCTGTATTAATTTTGAAGAAGGCTTTCTTGGCATACAATATCACTTGCCATAAATGATTGACATTTCTCCTGGGGATAGACAACAACCCAAATAAAAATGTCACAAAATTGTTGCCTGGACTAAAAAAAAAAAGAAGGGTTAGGCCTGTGCAGCTACCCGACCCTGTTTAAAAAAAAAGTCTGCTACAAAAACTTAAGATAACAGAAATGTCATACTATTTAGTGTATGTATTTTTATGTTCCACATTGTGATAATCACAAATGCAAGATTTGGATTTTGCAGATGATATTGTTCTGTCAAGTAAGACTGTAATGATATGCAAAGAAAGATGATCTAGCAAATATAGTATCAAAGGCTGGAATACAAATCATTTATGAAAAAAAATATTCTGAAGACACCAGTAACAGATCAAGTAGATTTCAAGCCAATATCCACCACCACCAGACACAAAAAGAATTAAATTCACTGATCAGTTTTCATATCAAGGCAGCAACTGTGATTGCCAAGGAAATACTAAGACAAATTCTAAAACAAGGCAAGGCAACAGCAGCTTTTAAAGTCTGAAAACAATATGGAAATCTAAATGATTTCGTTTTAAAACCAAAGTTATGTATTTTTAATTGAACTCTCAGGTGATTTCCGTTCTAACATATGCCAGTGAAAGTTAGAGAACCACTAAAGACATGAAACATGTGTTTTAAATGCATCCAAAAACTCATGAATAAGGAAACTGACGAAAAGGGATGAATTCAAGGAAGGTTAAAAAAAAAAAAAAAAAAAAAAGACTGGACAGCCATCTATGCCATCAAGATGATGGCAACTTTTGGGCACATCAAGAGGAGAAACAGAGATTCATAAAGCAAGCATTGGAAAAATTGAAACAAATGAACTGAGGAACAAGGAGAGAAACCCTGAGATGAACATTACTAAGCGGAGAATTTGACAGGACACAAGAGAATGGAGGACTAGTTTGCGAGCCCTTTGCCAAGTATAAATGTGCAACATGATGATGATGACAGTGACAATGAATTTAAGTTTTTCCTATTTTTGACTTCAGACATAAATAATTAATGTTTTGACAGTTTATGAGAATGTAAACTTATTTCTGTAAATCTAATCAACAATTATAACCTTTCTTCCTAGCATTCAAGGGCTGTAAACTCAGGTGGAAAGCTCTAGTTGTTCTCTTACTTATTATGGACTTTCGTGGTTTTGTGCAAGAACCTGAGCTTTGCATGCACATTTGTATTATAGATACGGCGTAATTTGTATACAGATTGTTGGTACCTTGCCTCTCAGGCAGATGCATCCTGACCTCAAATGACACACCCATAACTAGTCACCTTTTATGACATGCTTCCTGGTTGGGAGGAGGCCAATCAGTCTAAAACCCCCCCCCCCCCCCCCCCCCCCCCCCCCCCCTTGGAACCCACCCCCCCCCCCCCCCCCCCCCCCCAGTCTTGGAACCCACAAAGGGAACAATAATTATTTGGAACATAGAAATCTGAGACAAAGTGCAATTTCTACACATCTCAAGAATTGATGCAACTAAAACTCATCTTGTTCTGCATGAAGATAGAATAAATCTATTACATTTAGCAGAAAACCCACACACTAGCTTAATTTAGCAGAAAACCCACACACTAGCTTAATTTAGCAGAAAACCCACACACTAGCTTAATTTAGCAGAAAACCCACACACTAGCTTAATTTAGCAGAAAACCCACACACTAGCTTAATTTAGCAGAAAACCCACACACTAGCTTAATTTAGCAGAAAACCCACACACTAGCTTAATTTACCAGAAAACCCACACACTAGCTTAATTTAGCAGAAAACCCACACACTAGCTTAATTTAGCAGAAAACCCACACACTAACCTAATTTAGCAGAAAACCCACACACTAGCTTAATTTAGCAGACCAAAAGCAATTATGAGTACTCAATGAATAAACCATAAATTATGTATATTCAACTGACAGAAAACCAGAAATACAAAATCACTGGGTAAAGTGTGGATCAATATAATAATGAGAAAGAGACTGTTACCTCCAGCGAGGGAAGGCTCGTTTAACATCTAGCTCACCACTCAATGGGTCAACCAGTGGATGAAAGACGGGGTGCTCAAATATAAGTCGCTGAAAAAAAAAAAACAGGAGGTTTTAGTACGTAAACAACACATCTGATGATCCCCGACTCCCCACATTCTCAAACATTTAGAAGTGGCCTAAGCATCACAGAGAAATAAGCTAATAACTATATGCACACAGGATGAGTTGACAAAGAATGGAGAAAATAACTGTTTTCTAAAGTTAAGCTGGGTTGCTTGCTACAGAATCATCATCAGGTGTCTTTCCACTAGCAATCATGCTGCTGCACATCTTGTGATCTCTAACAGCAGGTATCAATGTCTCTGCTAACACCTTTCTATGCTGCCAGTAAATGCTGTCATCAAACCGACCATCTGACCCACATTCATCAAATTGACAGCCTCCTTTATAATGTGTTTCCAACATTAGTAGACACAAATACTTCAGATGTCTACTCATACTATGTGCATAAACACATGAAACAAGTCCAGTCCCACTGTTTAGGTACATCTATATTAAACACATTTGCTTATTTAATAGCTTACACAGAGATTAAAGAAGTGTAGTTAGAATAAATCAGGGAACACCTAAATCCTTCAAAGTAATATCTGGAGTAAGACAGAGATGTGTCTTATCACCACTCCTGTTTATCTCCTACACTGATGGTATAAGCAAGGATCCCTGGCCCAGGAATGAAAATAATAACAACATCAACGAATTACTCTTTGCTGATGACCAGGCCTTGATTGCAGATACAGCCATAAATTTGCAACATCTCACATCCATGAATGAAGAATGTAAATTAAATAATATAAGAATCAACATCGAAAAGACAGAATTGGGTGATCATGCCTCTCCACAATCTGTGATCTCCTGCAGCATGCATCAGTTCATGTGCTGACACATCTCCATGCCATGCAACAAGAATGTCAAGAATCTTCTCTCGTTGTCTTCCTTTATCCCTTCTTCCACAGATCTTTCCAGTAGTCACAACATGGCCGAAAAATGATGACTGTCTCCTGATATCTGTGATAAGTTGTCTTCAGGCTCCCACCTCTTTTAAAACCTCTTGGTTGCTCTTTTTGGCTGTCCAAGGCATTTTAAGCATTCTTCTATAAAACCTACATTAGGGCACACATATATTTTATAGGCATCTGAGTTTAAATATCTCGGAACAACATTCACTGAAGATGGTAAATTGGATGAAGAAATTGACATCTAATGAGGGAAAGCTGACCACGTATTAGGACAACTAGCCACCCTCTTACAGCATAAGGCAATCACAATCAGCACAAAGAAACATCTCATACAAAGCATATTCTTTCCCACTTTATGCTACCAGTGCCAGACGTGGTCACTCACAACAAAACATTAAAAGAAAATTAGTAACCATGGAAATGAGGTGTCTGAGAAAGACTGTAGGAGTGACCAGAAGAGATAAAATCAGGAATGAGGTCAAAAGAGATAAAGTCGGTACAGAAATAGTTCTAAATTACATACAAAGACAGCAAATCAAATGGTTTGCCCACTTGGAGAGAATGCCTTCTGATGCTATATAATACCATACAAGGCATATGCTAAAAGAGGAGAGGGACATAGAGCAAGTTAGACCAAGAACAAGATGAAAAGATATCAGAGAAACTCTACAGCACCACGATGTGTCCATGGTTGAAGCAGCTATAAGAGCACGAAGCAGGACCTTATATCTCCCTCGACACCCAAAGTGGTAAAAGAGGACAAAAAGAAGAAGAAGAAAGTCTATTTTTATTTTCTTTATTTAAAAAAAAAAGGGCAATGATTAGTGATAGAGATGACACATTGTTAAAATGACATTGTATTTTCATATGAGTATTTACAAAGAGAATACAAAGCCTTAGATTAAAGTGATACATTGAAGAAGATTACACTTGGGGGGGGGGGGGGGGGGGGGGGGGGGGGGGGAAAGAGGGGTGTTGACATTATCCTAAAGGCATGGGAATGTGTACCTCTGGCCACACTCGTGTTTGCTGTTTACTCTGCACGGTGGATCAAAAGGGTATGACTAGTGTCTTGCATGGATTGCGGATTTACAGAAACATTATATGACGGGATGTTGGTAAGTCGGGAGGCTTCAAAAGAGCCACGGATTGATCGGGTTGAGTCATGTCTATGATGACCATCGATGTAAGCGTCACTGGGAAGCGTATGCGATGGCGCTAACGAATAACTGACATAACTTCCTGGACAAATAGCCGACACAACTTACTGGATGAAAAATTGACATAACTTCCTGGACAAATAACTGACATAACTTCATGGATGAATTACTGACATAACTTACTGGACAAATAACTGACGTAACTTCATGGACGAATTACTGACATAACTTCCATAATGAATAGCTGACATAACTTCCTGGACAAATAACTGACGTAACTTACTGGACAAATAACTGACAGAACTTACTGGACAAATAACTGACATATATTACTGGACAAATTACTGACAAAACTTCATGGATGAATTACGGATATAACTTCCTTAACGAATAACTGACAAAACTTCCTGGACAAATAACTGAAATAACTTCCTGGACGAATAACTGACATAATTAACTGGACAAATTACTAACATAACTTCGTGGACAAATAACTGACAAAACTTACTGGACAATCGCCATCTGGATAGTTGTCTGGAATGGTCATGGTGAATCGAAGTGCTCCTCCTTGGTACAAGCCTTGCCTTATAAACAATAAGCCATTCCAAACTGGGCAAAAACAAAAACAAAGCAAAGAGAAAAGTTATTTCTACTGTGATCAGTCAGAGGTATATAAATAAAACTGCTTGCATTTGTATCAAATATTGTCTGAATTTAAAATATTTTTTTTTTTAATGAATACATTTTTTAATGTATTTTTTTAAGTTTAGTTAGTGGTCCGTGAAGTTTAATTTCCAGTGTTATTTTTTGTGTGTGGATTAGGCCACCATTATCATGTGTC